GCCCAAGTTTTGGTAAATTGTGCTTTGGTGGTTGAGGTATTTATTCGTTTTTCCGGTAGTCCTTCGTTTCTTTTCTCTTTTTAAAATGTTATTGATGACTTCGTCTTGTTCTATACAATGAAAATAGTATATTTTTCATAAAAACAATTAAAAGTACATACTTTAATACGTCTCGACTGTTGAAGTTCCTCAATAGGCTTAGTGGATTCAATATTTTTATCCGAGGACAAGTCATTCAGATCTTCATCGAGATTTTTATATTTTTGTAGACGTAATATTTGTAAATGTTTCAATCTATTGTGATTTTCCATACAGCTTGTATGAACACGCATATAACATCGATCCTTTTTTACAAATATAGAACTCAGATGTGTCAGTAATAATAGGTGAACGACAAACACATCTCAGTTGGATTAGATATAACATATTCTATCCTCGAAAACAAAACACGACCGAACTCTTTATAGAAGCACTGGAAAATCCTCTGAACGCTTTTTTATAGGTTTTAGGATGTGCTGCAGGATTTACAAGATGATCAGGTGCTCTTTTCTGGCTCTCAAAATCTGACTCCATTTTAACTACGGAAAATGTCAAATTTGGCTTTCATAAATCTCATTTAAGACAGTGAAATTTTAAATGAAGGTAGAAACTAAAAAAAGGACTAGTAAAGGAACTAACCAAAACAGAATAACGATGAGTCACTTAAAATTTGAATTTATAGCATCGTTTCTTTGTGGAAATAAATTTCTCAGAAGACACTTTGTGTATGAGCCGAAACCTAGGAAATAAATTTTTTCAAACTGAAGGTTTTGTATTATCCTGCTCCTGTCTGTTCTAAAAAACGATTCCTGTGACTATTCTGTGAATATCACAAAATAGAAAAGTATAGGAACTCTTTCATTCCGAAGCGTCAGTTTACTGGATTCAATATTTTCTATGCTGAACGAGAGCCACTCAGACTTACACAAAAGTTTTTACTGACAACTTTAATATTTTCATGAATTTACGTGTCGATAAATGCATCTGTCCTTCTTGACTCTTTTTTAAACTTAAAGGTGAATGTATTAAAATAAGATGTTTTTCAGCTATGTACACTATTTTGTTAATGAGTTTTGACACTTTTGATTAGTGGAAGCCTGATTTTCGGAACAATGTCTTAATTGTATTGTTCCATAAGTTGTGTGAGAATACATTTGTAATCCGTTAATATTGTGTGTTCATACTGTACACCTCTTTTATTTATTTATTCATGATTTTACTGTTTACAAGTAGCGAATTTATAATTTAAATCATAACAAATTTTGACTGCTTTCAGCTTTTTGCCATTCATTTCGATAATAATATCATTTGTGTAGAGCTTTGGATTTAAATTTAAAAATTCATTTTTTATCGTTGTTGCTGATACATTAATCTCACTTAATAATTTCTTTATGTTTGGTATATCAAGTTCTTTAAATAATACTTCGGTTATATCATAATAATCACGGGCTGTACCATAATAACAAGTACCTAATAAATAAACACACATTATAAATTAATTAAGTTATAAGTAATTACTGGAATCTCTCACCATCACTAACCCCTTTCCCACAAACGCACACATTAGAATGGCTCCATTGTTAATCTGCTTATGATGTACAGAAAACTCAATTTCTACTAAACTTTAATTTTAAGAAAAAACTTTTTGGCTCGAACAAATCCCAGTTTCGAAAATGTTCTGATGGGATCTCTCAACTACAATGTGTTTCCTATTCTGACTTTTTGATAACTTGGTCCACTCTATCAGAAAGACAAGTTCTTGAAACTGTCCGGTTAGATTGGAAAACAGGAAAATCCCAGCCGAATTCTCATGTAATTTTCCAGTCGAATGGAAGTAACACAATAATTTCGACAATCTGATCCTTCGGCAACCGTTTTCCTGATGGATCTGTCTATCAAAAAAGTATCCACACCTCCCTGGAAATCGAGCACTAGGTATTCAACGTTAGAAAAACGGTCGTAGTAACTACCAAGGACCATGCTCTGCTTTTCAAACACAACTATTTTCATTAAGACTTATCGTAGTCAATAGAGCAAAAATTGCGGTGTGAACCAGAGGTATCAGTTTCAGTAAAATAAAAATATCTTTGCTTTTGAAAGGATAGAGAGGTTAGGTTTGCGTCATTATTTGAGTTGATATCCAGACTACCGCTGATCCCAGTCACAAGTACCACAACATGTGTCACATGGTCAATGAGTCATTGGTTTTGGCTTTTAGGGCTATTTTTGAAACATCTTATCTGCACGGGAGGCCCAACTTACTTCGGACATCTTTGCGTCATCTTGCAGTTAAGTAGTTACTGTATATGGGATGAAAAGAGAAACTGGAGATTTTTAAGTTCAGAGGAAAAACTGGATTTTTGAACGTTAAAACCGTGTTATCGCCAATAAAAAGACGTTTTTATCAAAATCTAACGTCATATTCATGCTTAGCATCAAAACTGCGTTTAGTGATGTGTTATTCAAACTTTAGCAAAAGTTTTGCTTTCATCAAAAAGGAAGAATTCCGGTAAGATTTTCCTGTTTTCCAATCTAACCGGACAATTTCAAGAACTTGTCTTTCTGATAGAGTGGACCAGAATCTGGTTATTAAAAATAAGAATAAAAAACACTTTGTAGTTTTGAGAGACCCCCATCAGAACATTTTTGAAACTGGGATTTGCTCTAGCCAAAACGTTTTTTCTTAAAATTAAATCTGTGTATAAAACTCGACTTAAATTTAACTATATTTAGTAATTTTACAACCGCCTTCTTAGTTACTAGAAACTCAGACAGAATTCATTTCTGAGAGAATCAAAGAAGATACCACGACCGGTTTCGACCTTTCTCAAGGGTCTCATCATGTGGTTTCCTTCGAGAAAGACAGAGTTAGGGCACGACAAGCAACACAAACTCCGTCCACACCGTATGAGGGTGTTACTATTTCTTGTTCTTATCGAACAAAGAACGATAACTTTCACACGACGAGAGCGAAGCACGATATCACTGTACAATGCACATGTTCTGCTTCTCTACGTTAAGTATTT